TGACTCCTGACCCATGGACTTGGGACTTGCCAGCCTCTACAACCACGTGAGCCATTTCCTTGATATAAATCTCTCTCTTTCTAAATATATACATATATATGTATGCACTTCACTGGTTTTGCTTCTCGAGAGAACCCAGCCTAAGACACCCTCCAACACAGTCTAAAAGCAAATACTGAAGAGAGTACCACCAGGGCAAGAGTCAGGAACCCCAAGCTCCAGGCCCAGCTCTCTGTTGAAGCAGCAAGCAGCCCTGGCTGAGTTCCTTCCCCACAGGGCCTGAGTCTCCTCATCTACGAAATGGAAGGTACTGAGTGACAGGTCATAGACATCCCTGCCAGGAGCTCCCGCTGGGTCTTCCAAGCTTTGTGACTGGGGACTCCTGCCTCCCTCTTGCCTCATCTCCTCCCTCTGTATCCTCACTCTCTATCTCACCCCTGAGGGGGCGTGAGAGCAATCAGTTGTCAATGAAGCTGAGTGAGGCTTAAGATATTATCAGTAGTGTGCTGGTAAATGTTTAACAACAGGCTCTGGAGGAAAGGGAGTGACCTTGATTTGCAGTGTTTGCCAATTTTCATGGTGTAAATACTCCCACCACTGCCAATTTCAAATTATCAACCTAAGGTCACTGATGGTAGAGTTGCAAGCCATGCACACACAGTTCTCACAGGTCCGTGTGGGCTGGCTCCAGCACACCCTGCCTCTCAAAGGTATTTACATTCTAACAGAAGGTTCTAGAAGGTGGAAGGTCTTCCCGTATGCAGTGGACACTCTTACAGAAAATCTGATAAATACGGAAGGAACAAAAGAAAAGAAGGCACCCCAGATCCTAACATCTAGACAATCTCTACTAACAATATCTCCACATATTATTATAGAGTCGTGATAGCATTGACATAGAGTTTTCTAACCTGCTTTCTCTCACTTAACATTACATTACATTCAATAGATATCCCATCGTTTAATTAATCCATCCCTTATCTTTTAACGGAAACCCTGGTGGCCCAGTGCTTAAGAGCTACAGCTGCTAACCAAAAGGTCGGCAGTTCGAATCCACCAGGCACTCCTTGCAAACCTTATGGGGCAGTTCTCCTCTGTCCTAGAGGGTCACTATGAGTCGAAATCGACTCGATGGCAATGGGTTTGGGTTTTTCGTTGGTTTTACCATTTAACAGTTAAGCTGTTCATAATTTTTCACTTACAAATAATGCCAAAATGAAATCTTTCTGCCCAAAAGTATGTTGACTCAGTTCTAGTGGTGTAAGTTCAGTCCCTAGAACGGGTGGCAGTGGTGGGATGGGGCAGGGCTGTATGAATGAGGGGCCAGCGGCTGGTCTGGAACACAAGGTCCCCACATCTGGACACTTTACAGACATGGCTAGGACAGCCCTGTTGATCCCTACAGTCTGGCCCTTTCCTCACCCTGCCCGTTCCTCACCATGGCGTCCCTCCACCCTCACCCCGCCCGTTCCTCACCACGGCGTCCCTTCACCCTCACCCCGCCCACTCCTCACCACGGCGTCCCTTCACCCTCACCCCGCCTGTTCCTCACCACGGCGTCCCTTCACCCTGCCCGTTCCTCACCACGGCGTCCCTTCACCCTCACCCCGCCCGTTCCTCACCACGGCGTCCCTGCCATCCTCAGACAGGACACACCCACCTTGGCAGGTGGATAATAAGCCAGGAGACACTAAGCTGATGGAATCACCCTTTCCAGAGAGAGTGACAGGCCATGGTGCCATCATAGGGACAATCTTATGGGTTTTGGAAAGAATAAGCTAGGTTGCAGAGGTGCCAGGAGTCAGGGGCCCATTATGGACCAGAGAAGTCACCTGAGCAGGAGAATCAATGCAGTCACCCCCTGCCACCACCCCTCAAACAGGCCGCAGACAAGCCCTCTCACACTAGAAAGGATTCTCCACAAACAGCTCTCAGCTCCCTGCACCCTTGCTCCACCCAGGCGCCCACCATGCATTGCCCCCTTTCACCTTCTTCCCGCCTCACCCACTGTCCACACCCAGCCCTTCACCAGCCCAGCTCTCTGCTGATCCCACACGGTGTTCTCATTATGCCACTCAGCTCCACAAGGACACCCTCGGGTGCCACCTCATGCCAGCCCAGCAGTAAGCACTGAGTCCTAGAGCTTAGGGCAAGAGAGTTGTACCCTTCCAGGCCCTACCCTTCTGTCTCAGGGGACACACAGCTACCTCTGCCACCTGGCACCCTTTCCCTGGTGAGCCTCACCAGCCCGGCAGGTCTGATCTCCTCGTGCTCAGGAAGGCCACACCAGGAGCCTTGTGGGACTCAGGTTGGCTGAGTGAATGAGGATTCTTGCTCACAGCACCTCTGTCACCGCCCAATAAGATTTAAGGAAGATGTAACATCTCAAGATCATGGACTTTGGATAAAACCAGTTGCCGTCAAGACAATTCTAATTCATGGCGACCCCACGTGAGTTACAATAGAACTGTGCTCCGTCGGGTTTTCAATGGCTGATTTTTCGGAAGTAGATTGCCAGGACTTCCTTCCAAGGAGCCTCTGGGTGGGCTTGAACCACCAACCTCTGGGTTAGAAGCGGAACTAATTAACCTTTCGCAGCACCCAGGGACTCCTAGACTTTGGATAGCAATGTGTCAACTCCCCTCATGATGAAGATTAGGAAAACGAGGCCAAGAGATAAAACTGCTTACCCTACAGGGGACCGGGGGCAATACTGGAACTCTGACCCCAGCCAGCGCCCCCTGGGCTGCACGGCGGGGGCCCCCTCAGCCCAGAGCTAATAGAGGGCCCTTCCCAGTGAGCAGAACTGCCCTATAGGGGTTCCAAGGCTGTAAATCTTTACGGAAGCCAACTGCCACATCTTTGTCCTGCAGAGAGAGGCACAGCGAGCAGCCACCCCCGGGGAAAGCTCCTGGTCTCTGCAGCAGCCTGACAGCAGGGCTGGGCTCCACCTCCTGGGAGGCATCTGCCCTCCTGCACCTGGGCTGCCTGAGGCCAACTCACCTCTCAGCCAGGTTCTGCTGGAGCCTCACCTATGAAGATCACCTGAAGTCAGGCAGTGAGGGCCCACGGGGACGGGTCAGGGGAGGCATTCTGGGTGGCGGGGTGGGTAAGCAGTGGGCTAGAGCGGGCGGGTGCCTCCTGTGGTCCTCTGCACTCCAAGCTAACAGGCCTCTTGCCCATCACTGCGCCCCCATCGAGAACTCCCTGCAAACATCTGTTGGTAGTTCACCACCCGAGACAACCAGGCCTGATGACGGAGGGGCTTTCCCTCCAATTACGCCCTAGTTACTAATTACTGCCTAAGTCTGTTCTCTGCCGCTGCGACACCGCTGTAAATCGCAACGTGTGGCAGTTCCGTGCTCCATTCATGGTTCCGGGAGGCAGACCGCGGCCTGAAGAAGCTCCCTGGGACCCCAAGGTGGGTTCCCCTCAGGACCCCGAGGCAGGTCGAAGCTACACCAGAGCTCACGCGTCTATGCCCCAGGCAAAGGGACAGCTGGAGGAGTCCCCACAGACGAGGGGGGCCTGACCGAGGGGAGGAATTGGCGACGTGCAGCCAGCCAGCCCGGGACCCGGGCAGGTGGTCCTCAGAGCCACGGCTAACACCCCTCCTCTGGACCCTCCCCACACCTCCCAGACCCTCTGGGAAACTGCCCTGTGTGGGGGCTCCTGCTACACCCTCCACAGCCTCCACCCCACCCACCCCCAGGCCGGCCCCTCTCAGAGCCCCTCGGGGGAGGGTCTTTCCACCCAGGGTGCAGGGTACAGGGGCGGGACACCCTGACGCTCCTCCAGGCGGGCCGGCCATCAAAGCCGCCACATGATCAGCACAGGATGGTGGCCTCGCACCATCCTCCCCTGTCACGGTCCCACATCCGGGGCCCACCTCAGCTCACTCTTAGAAATGCCCCTCTGAGCATCCATTTCCCAGGTCCTACCCCAGCTCCCCCAAGCACTGCCGTGGGGTGGCAGACTCAGCACCAGGGGCACTGCTTAGAAATGCAGAAACCCGGCCCGCGCCCCACTTCCGGAACCAGGATCTGCATTTTAACAAGACCCCAGCAGGCCCCATACACAGGCAAGTGTGAGAGGCAGGCCCCACACCTCACCCCAAGGGCAGGGTGCTCCCCTCAGAGCCTTGCTGGGAGCAACACGCAGGACTAAATGCGCTTGAATAAAAAAAGATGAAATCTGAGTCTCTCCACTCCTCCGAGACAGAAATAGTCCCGTGGCCTCCAGATGGAGGACGCAGACACAGGGGAGGTTCCACCTTCCCACCAAACCTTCCCAACGCGGGGCTGGCAGAGGCTGGCAGAAACCACCGTGGACCTCTCTCTGGGCCCGTAAAATGAGAGGCTGCGGCTCGTGCAGCGCTTCTGTCACAGTTAAGCTGGCCAGAAATTCACCCAAGTATACTAAACCGAGTACCTGACCCTCTAATTACAGCCAGAAGGATCAGGGGACAATTACTTTCCAAAATAGTCCTTGGCAGCCACAGGCAAGAGGCGGCCCCTCTCTAGGGTGCCAGCTGGACTCCCCAAGGCCGCCCAGCAGCTCACCTCTCTTCCCTGCCCCCTCCCCATCCACCCGCTGGAGTCTGAGAAGGCCCAGCCCCCAGGGTTTAGAGTAACCAGACTGCCCAGAAAACCTACAGGCATGGACCAAGGTGCCTGGGATTCTGCCCTCTATAAAATCAGCGTGCACGCCTGAAAAGACAACACCACCACTCCAATTAAATCCTAACGGGCCCGTGAAAAACACCCCTGCCCTTTGCAAAGTGTGCAAAACCTTAAGTACCTCCTTGGGCAGCTATCGCCGCTGCCGCCGCTGAGAGAGGAGAAGCCTTCTTACCCAGGTCGGGAAAGCCGTTGCCCTCCAGGCTCCCACTTTTGCCATCTTTCTTCTCCGCGGCAGGGGCTGAGGCGGGTGTCTCCATTTTAGCCGCTCATAATCCTGGGTGGCGACCCTAAAGGAGGAGACAAAGATGCTCACCAATGCAGCCCCCAACCCCAGCCCGAAAACGCCGACCCAGATTCCCCAGCCGTCCGCACGCTTCTGAAGCAACCAACTTAATTCTCTCGTAATTGGGAAGGAGGTTTCAATTAATTTTGAGAATTACTAGTCCTGAGATTCATTGGGTCGTTTGTACGACCTCACGGACAACAGCCAAGAGCTTCCATGGTCTTTCACCCCGATTTTTAAAATCTAAGCAACAAGTTCCTATTGATGTGAGTAGCACAGAGCAAGAACTACCTTGAGAGATGAGGTCGGAAGCAAGGACTCCAGCTTAGAATCGTGGGGAAAATAGAATTAGTAACAATTACCTTTTAGCAGTTTACCAGCTGCCACTGAGTGAATTCCAACTTATGGTGACCCCATGAGTGTCAGAGCAGAACTGTGCTCCACAGGGTTTTCAATGGCTGATTTTTGGGAAGTAGATCACCAGGCCTTTCTTTCAAGGCACCTCTGGGTGAACTCACACCTCCAGCCTGTCGGTTAGCAGCCGAGTACATTAACTGTTTGCACCACCCAGTAATTCCCCCAAAGAAATATCCTAGTTTTTCTGTTCCTTCTCTGCTCACCAGAATTCATCTATCATTTATTCGTTTGTATGTTCAGTGGTTCATTCCTCACCTTCCCATCATCAATCCATCACTTACACATAGTCAACAAATTTTCAAGCGTATTTATAAGGTACCCAGGTGATGCAAACAGCTTGCGCTCAACGACTTAACCTAAAGGTTGATGGCTGAAATCCATCCAGCAGTGTCACGGAAGAAAGGCCTGGTGATCTGCTGCATAAAGATTACAGCCAAGAAAACTCTATGGGGCAGTTCTACTCTGTAACACATGGGGTCGCCGTGAGTCGGAATGAACTGTACGGCAACGGGTTTGGTTTTGGTATTTTATTACGCACCAGGCATCATGCGTGGCGCTGAGGATACAATCCCTGAGGCTGACATTCTACTTGGGAGACTAATACTAAATAAGGGGGGACGGGGGGCGGAATGTGGGTTTTAATCTCAGCTAGTGAGAGGCAGCATGGGAAAATAAAGCAGAGTAACAGGAGCGAAGAGGGTGGGAGCGGCAGAGAGGAGCTGCTGTGCCAGGAGAGGCAGGAGAGAGGAAGGCGCCCACGAGCAGAGTGGGCGGCATGAGGGGAGGAGCCAGGGAAGGCGCGACAGAAGAGGAGGAGCCAAGGGCGGGGGCGGGGCCGAGGGGCGGGGCCTGGCCTGCTAGGGGAGCAGCCGGGCTGAGAGAAGGTGTGGGCGGTTCTGACTCGCACTGTAAAGGAGCAGATCGGCTGCAGTGTGGGGAGCAGAGCCTGGGACAGGGGCGGCTACGGAAATGACCCAGGAGATGGGATGGTGGTTTGGGTTACAGCGGTAGTGGTGGAGGGGGTGAAACGGGGTGCGTTCTGAAGGTACAGCTGACAGACCTTGCTATGGGTTTGATGGGGGTGTAATGGAAAGAGGAACCGGGTGTGAGGGAGGAGCACTCAAGTGGACGCAGGGCCCGGGTAATGTCCCTGTCTCCAGCTGGGTCACAAGCATTTTATTAATACGTGCATGACTTGCAGATACTGCTAATATGGGGCTTGTATCCAGTATTATAACCAAAACCCCGTGCCGTCAAGTCGATTCCGACTCACAGCGACCCTACAGGACGGAGTAGCGCTGCCCCATAGGGTTTCCAAGGCTGTAATCTTCACGAAAGTAGACTGCTACATCTTTCTCCCACAGAGTGGCCGGCGGGCTCCAATCACCAACCGTTCAGTTAGCAGCCGAGCACTTAACCACTGCAGCACCAGGGCCCCTATCCAATATTTCAGACTAGAAATTTTAAAGCCTGATTGTTCAAAAGAAGGGGGGGCTGTCAAAGATGGCTCATGTTTTGGGCTGAGCACCTGGACAAACGATCAGCCGGGCCACTGACTGCAATGAAGGAGAGATGGCTAGGAGCAAGTTCAGGGGCAGAAATCGAGAGTGGAGTTCGGCCCCGTTCAGCCTGAGATGCCTGTTAAGGCATATCCAGGAGGAGGTGAAGCAGAGGCCGCTGGGCATCCGGGTCTGGAGCTCAGGAGAGAGGCTGGATATGTGAACATAGGCACCACTGGACGTGGCAGACCAACGAAAGGGTGCAGGTGGAGAAGTTCCAGAACAGAGATGCGGGGTGTCCCAGCATTTCGAGGTCAGGAGAAAAAGAAGAAGCCAGCCGAGGACAGTGAGCAGTGGCGGCTGGGGGGGGCGGGACAGTGAATGCCGAATAGGGTGTGACAACACACTCCTCCTTTCCCCCCGCGCCGGATTTCCCGTGTCCATTCAACCAGCTCCTGACCCTCTCTGCCTTCTCATCTCACCTCTGGACGGGAGCTGCTCATTTACTCTCATGTATCTACTTGAGCTAAGAAGCACTCTCTTCATAAGTATCATTTTATGTCCCACAGTCCAGTCTTTGAAGAGTTGGCCTTGGGAATAGTTTTAGTTTTGGGCTAACAGAGAGTCCGTGGGCCATGGCTTCCAGGGTCCTTCTAGTCTCAGTCAGACCATTAAGTCTGGCCTTTTTACTAGAATTTGAGTTCTGCACCCCACTTTTCTCCTGCTTCATCAGGGACTCTCTGTTGTGTTCCCTGTCAGGGTGGCAAAGGACCTTTTTTGTTGCTGCTTAAGCTGGGGGGCTGGAGGCCGGGAGCAGGGGTGCGAGGGCGCAGGTTGCCTACCGGTGGGGTGGCCCAAGAGCAAACTCAGGGGTCCCAGCGTCAGCAGTCAGCTCCTCTCCCTGGGCGTCAAAGCTAAAACTCTATCAGGGGGCCCAGAATTGTATCCTCTTAAATTTCCACCTACTCCCAGGTCTAAGTCTGAAATAAGAGCATACAGGAACAGCGAGGGTGGGGGCAACAAGGATGGTCAACAGCCCCTGTGGCTTCTCCAGCTAACAGCCCAAGTCCAAGCTTCCGCTGTCATCTGCACACACACCAGCCTGTCTGGTTGCCACAATCCTTTAGAACCCAAGAAAATCAGGCAAGTGGAGACAGAGAAATCTCTTTGGTGAGCTTTGGGTTTCCTGAAGCATCCAGATTCATTGTCTGATTTTTTTAAAAAACCCATTTAAAAGTCTGTTCTCACCAGCCATGTGCTTTGCCCCATGCCGCTTCTCCTTCTCTGCCCCTTACCCTTGCCACGGCACCACCCCATCAGACACTGAGCTGGACCCTGGGGCGCCTCCCAGCTCCGTCCATATCTAATCAGCTGTGATCACTTCACCTGCAAAGCACCTGGCCCGCGGTGCCTGGGTCAGCCCACTGCTCTGCACCTGGGTCCAGACACCTTCCACGCCTCTGGTGCCCCCCAGGCCACCCCTACCCACAACATCTAATCTCACCCCATCCCTCCCAACCATGGCTTTACTTTGCCCCTTGGTATGCAGGTCAAGTCTCCCATCTCTCTCCCCAGCCTTCCCTCCCCACCTCCCCTCCATACCCGGCTTCAGCCCCCAGCCGCCCATCCTGCGGTGCCCCCGCCAGAAAGCCTGTACCCTTTCTGTGCCTGACAAACTCCTACTCTGCCTTCAGGACAGTCACCTCCCCTGGGAAGCCCCCGGCCCCTCCCCAGTCGTAGTCACTCCCTATTAGGGACCCTGCAGCAGTCAGGTGAAGTGGCTCACCTGTGACCTCAACACCCCACATTCGATTTGCCATCAAGCCCCTCCACGCAGCACTGCTCCGGAAATCAGATAAGGCAGGCCACGAGGGGAGCTCGGAGGCAGGAAGTCACGGCTTTTAAACGCAAATCACCGCGTGCACAGCTCGGGTTTTCCTCCTAACAAGCTCAGGTGAGGGAATTTAAGCCCACCTTTGGAGCACATCTTGAATTTGAACACAAAGACAGAAATCCAACAGTATCTGGAACAACACACCTTTAACAAGCATTTACTAGGTGCCAAGCACTTTGAAGCTCCACAGGAGAAAGATGTGGCAGTCTGCTTCCGTAAAGATTCACAGCCTTGGCAACCCCACGGGGCAGTTCTGCTCCGTCCTCCAGGGCCGCTATGAGTTGGGATCGACTCGACAGCAGTGGGTTTCGTTTAAGGGCTTTACATTGATGATGTCATTGAGTCCTCATGCCGTGTGAAAGAGGAGGAAAGCAGGGCCCAGGGAGGCTGGCACACACTTAGAAGTGACCGTGCCAGGACATGACCCCAGCTGTCTGGTCCACCTCCGAGTGCTGGCCCTTCAGGACGGGAGAGCGCTATGCAGGAGGAGCCCAGGGCCCAGAGCAGGGTTAGGAGGATGGTCCCCGCCCTAATGCCAGGTCCGCAGGGCCAGACTGGTGGACAGGAACCACCGGGGGTGGACGCTGGAGCAAAGGCCGAGTCTGGGGCTGCCCCTCATAACCCCTGTGGTCACATAGGAGGCGTCTGTCTGCCGAGGCAGAACGGGGTGGGAGGTACGGCGGGGTGGGCGGTACGGGAGCCCGCAGCTGTGCATGCACTCACTGAGCTTTCATTCTGCAGGTCTCTACCGACAGCGGCTTCCCGCCTCCGCTGAACTGGGCCAGCAGGGACTGCTCCTTCCTCTGCGTCTGGACACCCCATCATGGCACTGCCCCCCAAGCCTGGGCATGGTCTGCTGTGCGCTCACCTGGCTCCCTGCCTACCTGTCTCCCCCTCCAGGGCAGAGGCGGGCCTGGCACTCCACGGTCCCCAGGCCCAGCCAAATAGGTGCTCAGCTGCTCTGCCCAGGGGATGGGGTGGGCGCTGGGAACCAGGCCAGGTCTACAGGGCTTGGGATTCTCTGGACTAGGAGGCAGCAAGGGACTTAAGGTGTCCCCTTCACAGGGGCAGAGGATATGACCAGGCCCCAGCACTAGGGCACGGGGCGGGCAGGCTTCTGGGAGGCACGGATTCAGTCTCCTCAGAACGCAGATGGGGAAACGG